AATCAAGTAATTTCAGTTTGTTTCCTCATACACAATATTAGCAAATACTTTCAAAGCTCCAGATATAAACTTTAAATTGCTATTTGTATGACATTTTTCATCATTATTCAGACTTTGAGAAAATACCCACATGCTAATTTTCCATGACCTATTGTTCATTTATGACCATTTTTCTTTCAAATGTCCACTGTTAAGGCACTATAATAGGTGTACAGAATGCTAAAACACTAATCCCTAGCCTTAATAACTAGTCAGGCATTAAAGCCAAAATATTGCCACGAGAGGTACTTAATGCTTATATAGTATTAGGAACACACAGGTCAGAATGGCTGTCCTGCAGGGGAGGTGTTCACTTTACAGTTGGCCTTGGCAGCCTGAGACAGCGCCTGCCCACAAAGACAAGTGTGAGTCAAGACCTCAACAGAACAGGAAGTTGAGTTTAATACTTTGGGTGGGTGGAGCATAGATTTCACGAAAGTAACAAAATCTGAAGAGTTATGAGTTAGTCAAGTCATGATCAATTGTATGCTAAGAAAATGAGTTTTCATTTGAGTCAGTAGGGAGTGCAGCACAATAGGAAGTTTAGGCAGAGGATGAGTATGTGTATGAAATTGAACAATGTTCTAGGAACAGTGTCCATCAAAATTAATATGTCTCATGACAGCTATATATCACCTAAAATGTACTTTTATTTAAAATGTTTTTGGGCCAGGGATTTAGCTCAGTGATTCCGCCACCTGCCTCACAAGCACAAGGTCCTGAGTTTGATCCCCGGTACCAAAAAAAAAAAAGCTTTTAAAAATTAGATTGAAATATAAAAATTTGTGTGTGATGCTGGGGATTGAATCCAGGGCCTTGTGCATGCTGGATAATACACTGCCACTGAGCTCCATCCCTGCCCTTATACTTTATAATTTCACAGTTACTACAAATCAGCTGTCTGGTGGTGCACACCAGTAATCCTAGCTACATAGGAGGTTGAGGCCAGAAGGGTATGGGATGTATTTCAGTGGTAGAGAGCTTGTCTGGCATTCACAAGGCTCTGACTTCAATCCCCAGTACTGCAAATAAAAAAAATTACTACAGATTGTTTATGGATACATCTCAAATAATGAAAATGTACCGAGGCACTTGGGGAAAATACCAGCTTCAAGATGGCAGATACAGGATGTGAGGACGATCTGGTTGAGACATCTGTTACCCTGTTGATCGCCAGGGTTGACTTGGCTGATCTGGCTGGCTAGGCAGGTGTCTAGGTGGGTCCCCTTCCTCCCTTGCTGCTTCATGTGCGTCCCTCCCGAAGCTGTGTGCTCCATGGAAGATGACCACCTCCAATAGAGGAGGACCATTTCCTCAGTCATGGAGGGTAGCTTTGTTCCTCTGCTACAACCTCCAAAGAAGCTCTTGAGATGTCAGATACCTTAGCCAAACATGGTGGTGCATGCCTGTAATCCTGGCATTCTGTGAGGCTGAGACAGCAGGACTGCAAGTTCAAACCCAGCCTGGGCAGTTAGCATCTTAATTGAGATCTTGTCTCAAAATTTAAACAGTGGGCTGGCATGTAGCTCAGTGTGAAGGTCCAAAGTTCTTTTTAAATCTTTTAATTCATCATCTTTGGGGAAGAAAGGATGTATATACAGTTTATAGGGTCTTCTAAATCTATAAAAGTTTTGAAGCAGAAATGGTGAAAGCTTACTATTTATTAAATCCAGGTGGTAAGGGGTATGTCTACATTTGGATTTTTTTTTCAAATAAAGACATTTTTTGTTTGTTTTTTGAGACTGTCTCGCGATGTAGTTCAAGCTGGTCTTGGACTATGTAGCCCAGGCAGGCCTCAAACTTGTGGTAGTCTTCCTGCCTCAGCCTCCCAAATGCTGGGATTATAGGCATGTGCCACCAAGCCTGGCTAAAGACAGTTTTTAAAAATATAAAGAGGACATCTGGTTTCCAGTCTGGCTTATAAGAACCTTGGAAGTCACAATTTTATCCTAACAAGTGAAAAACCAAAAAATTAATCATTCTTGGGTACATAAGAGAATTGAGGTCACAGGGCAAAGCATCACCCCCAAATTGGAGAGACAAATACAGATTCACATTTCACTGCAGCAGAAATTTCTCCAAGAACTAGTGCCAGAGCAGGGAAACCCCAATTAACTGATGAACTGCTGGAGTCTCAATGTGGCCGAGTCTTTTTTTTTTTTGTACCAGGGATCGAACTTGGGACCTTGCACTTTCGAAGGAGTGGAACCACTGAGCTAAATCCCCAGCCCCACTGTGGCCAAGTCTTAACTCCAGGGGGACCTAGTCATTGAGGGGCCCCACTTATGTAAGTACCTCCTGCAGCTCTATTAGTTTCTCACAATATCAGGGTGGAATTTCCCTCCTTCTGGGGAGGGTAAAAGCCATTTGAAAGATGCCAGAGCATCCTGTTCTTAATAAGATCTACCCTCAAGTGAAACTAATTAGACCCTAACTGAACTGGGGGGAAAGAAAATGCAACTTCAACCCCCTCTAGCCTTCCACACGGGAGAAGGGCAGTATCCAAGTTCAGTCCACCGTAGCCATTCTGTCCCATCTAAGTAGAGAAGGGACTGAGTAGCACTTGTGAGAGAATTCACAGTCCAGAGAATATGCTGAAAGACAAAATCACACCTTACCACCACAGTACTAAAAGCCTGATTACAGGTGTTCCTTTCACTCAGTACATTATATCCAGCTATCACGGAAATTTATTAGACATAGTAAAAGGCAAAACATGTTTTTTTAGTTTTGTTTTTTAAACACATTTTTAACAGATAAAAACATCAAACCAAACAGACAAGACAGGGATGTTGGAACTATCAATTGTCAAAAAACAAATATTTAAAGGCTCTAATGGGTAATGTAGACAAAACGCCAGAATAGATGGGCACTTTAAGCAAAGAAATGGAAAGTCTATGAACTAAAAAGTTCAAGTTCAGCCTGGGCAATGTAGCAAACAGTGAAATCCTGTCTTAAAGTGAAAAACGGCATGGTGGTGCATGCCTGTGAGCCCAGCACCAGGAGGCTGAGGCAAGAGGATTGCCACAAGTTCAAGGCCAGCCTGAGCTACATGGTGAGACCCTGTCTCAAAAAGACAGAGTGAGTTCAATCCCGGGTACCAAAAAAAAAAAGAGGGAGAGAGGGAGGGCAGGGAGTAGAGTTCAATGTAAAGACCCTGTTCAATCCCCAATACCCTAAAAAATAAAAATAGGCCAGATATGGTGGTGCACAGCTGTAATCCCAATACTCTGGGAGGCTGAGGCTGGAGGACAAAAGGTTTGATCTGAATCTCGGCAATTTAGCAAAACCTTGCCTCAAAAGTGGACTGGGGCTATAGCTCAATGAAAGACCAGGGCGTCAATCCCTAGTACAGGTGCTGCACACCTGTAATCCCTGCACTTGGGAGGCTGAGGCAGGAGGATCCCTCTGAGTTTGAGGCCAGTCTGGACTACATAGTGTGTTCAAGGCCAGCCTGAACTACATAGCAAGACCTTGTCTCAAAAAATAATAAATGAAACATTTGCAAATTAATCCATTATTAAATATTTATGGAGCGTAGTGGAGGGGATAAAAAAGAATTAAGATATGTACATGAACCAGCTCCCCATGATGAATGTAATCATTATGTACTCAAAGATGTACTAATAAAAGTATTTTTTAAACTTGTTTTTTGGCACCAGGGATCAAACTCAAGACCTTGTGCTTGCAATGGCAGGCAAGGCACCACCGAGCTAAATCTGCAGCCCAATATTTTTTAAACTTTTAAAAGCTCTTACTAATCACCTAGGGTTTATCTCGAGTATATAAGAGTTTACAATATGGTAATAGAGTAACAGAATTAAAGAAGAAAATTAATGCAATCATTGGTGGGAAAAGGCCATATAAAAAAATCTAGCATTCAATAAAAACTTAAGCTGTGAGTAGAAATGTTCTGAATATGAAAAAGGTATCTCTCATTATGCTAGAGCATATATAATACCTAATTATAATATAATTAGACACATTCCCAAGGGCCAGAAAGTAGGAAAAGATGCCTCCTCCTACTACTTCATTCTTGATCTGGTCCTGTCCAGTGTACTAAGTCAAGAAATCAAAATAAGTAAAAAGGGGCTGGGGATTTAGCTCAGTGGCACTGCACTTGCCTCGCAAGTGCAATGTCCTGAGTTCGATCTCCAGTACAAAGAAAAAAAGAAAAGTAAAAAGAATTTGAAAGGAAGAAATTTATTTGGTGTTATTTGCAAACAATAATTATCTACATAGAAAAATCCAAGATTAACCACAGAAAGCTATTGTTAGAATTAACAAAATATCAGTGAGGTTGATAGATATCAAAGCAATATACAAAACTTCAATTTACAATCATTTAGATATATAATACAGTATTCTGAAACATTTAGCGACTGGTACGGATAAAAAGAATGCTGAAAATCAAAGTTTTTGTTGCTGGGCATGGTGGTGTACATCTGTAATTCCAGCACTCAGGAGGCTGAGGCAGGATTGTTGTGAGTTCAAGGCCAGCCTGAGCTACACAGACAGACCCTTGTCTCAAAAAAAAACAAAAAACAAAAAAACAAAAAAACTAAAACAAACAGTTTTTTTATCCATTAGTATCCAGATAGAAAACACAAAACACCCCCCCC